CCCCGGGGGGGGGAGGTTATGGCAACACTGCAATCCCTTCTCCATTCTCCAGGATCCAGAGCATGCATGCACATTTGTCTGGTGTAATTTTCTTCTTTTTTTAAAAAGAATTATTTAAGGGGCTGGCAGGTGGCATGGTGGTTAAGAGCACTGAACTCCCACATGGCTGACCACTGTTCAGGTCCTGGACCTGGCAGCTTGCTTTCTCGCTTTCCCTCTCTGCCTGTCTCTAGTCAAAATTAAAAAGTAAATAAAGTTAGAAAAACATTTAAAAAATTATTTACGGGGCCAGGAGGTGGTATGGTGTTTACGAGCACTGGACTCTCACATAGGTAACCATGGTTCGAATCCCGGACCTGGAGGCTTGGTTTCTCACTTTCTCTCCCTCCTTATCTTTCTCTCTCACTCTGTCCCTCTCCTCTCTGGTCAAATTAAAATAAATAAATAAATAAAGTTAAATAAATTCTTTAAAATAAAGAATTTTATATTGACCAGAGAGAAAAAGAGAGAGGGAGAGAGAAGTAAAGTGAAAAAGCTGCCAGATCCACAACTCGAACTGTAGTTGGCCATGTGGGAGTTCAGAGTCCTTAACCACCATGCCACTTGCTGGCCCCATTGTCCAGTGTGATTTTCAAGCCACCGATCCAGGGCTCTGGCCTTAACCATGCTAAGTATATTTGTTATTTATTTATTTGTTTATTTTTGAGAGATTTTTGCTATAGGGTATGTGTGCTCACCAGAGACAGAAAGCAAGAAATCAACCCCCAGGTGGGTTGGCCATGCTTGCAATCCCTTCTCCATTCTCCTCTCAGGATTTTGGGGCACGCACACGCACACATGCCCAGGCATGAGTTTTAAACCACTGAGTCCAGGACTTGAATCTCAGTCCATTACAGGAGAGTCTAGTGATATAACCAGTCTACTACCCGCTGGTCCCCTGCCCCTAAGTATAGTTGTGATGAAATGCCTACCCTAACTCCTCCAGCACTCTCATGCCCTTTTTATAGTTAATTGAGACACTTAGTAATGATTGCTTGTCTTATTCATACATTTACTTGCAAAATTGCATTGTAATGTACTTTTTCCAAAGTTACACTAATTGCTTTCTGCTAAGTTATTTTCTGCTAATTTGTATTTATCACACTTAATATATATATTTTTAAGTTCTATCATCCCAAAAGTGGAAGGTTAAAAAGTATTCCCCTGTTGGGACCAACAGATGGCATAATGATTACATCGCTGGACGTCTTCATAGTCCACTGTGGTTTGAGTCTCGAACCCAACAGCTTAAAACACGCAGAGTGCATGTGTGTGCGTGCTCAAAATCCAGAGAGAATGGAAGAGAAGAAATTGTTGCGTGGCCATCCCCCCAGAGGGTGACTTCTCACTTTCTGTCTCTCTGTCTTTGTCTGTCCAGCAAGCGCATGTGCCCTACAGCAAAAATCTTTTTTTTTTTTGAGAGGTTTTTTATATAGGGTGTGTGTGCTCGCCAGAAAGACAGAGACAGAAAGTGAGAAATCACCCCCCAGGGAGGGTGGCCACACCACAATCCCTTCTCCATTCTCCTCTCGGGATCTTGGGCACGCACAAACATGAGCCCGGCGTGATTTTAAGCCGCCGGGTCTGGGACTCGAACTGCAGTTGACTACATGGGAGTCCAGTGACATAGCCATAGCGCTAACTGCCGGTACTGCAAAAATCTTTGTTTAAAGAATTATTTATTTAGTTTTATTTATTCATTCATTTATTTTAATTTGACCAGAGAAAGACACACAGAGAGAAAACTGAGGAAGCAGAACCAGCAGTTAGCGTAATGGCTATGTCACTGAACTCCCATAGTCGACCATGGTTTGAGTCCTGGACCCGGTGGCTTAAATTCATGCTGGGCACGGGCATGTGTGCATGTGTGCCCAAGATCCTGAGAGGAGAACGGAGGACAAGGGATTGCAGTGTGGCCATCCCCCCAGGGGGTGATTTCTTGCTTTCTGTCTCTGTCTTGCCTGGTGAGCGCACGTGCCCTATAGCAAAAACCTCTCCAAAAAAAAAAAAAAAAGTGAAAAAAAAAATCATTCTGGGTGTGTGTGTGTGGGCATGCCCAAAACCAAAGGGGGGACTGGGGAGGGGGG